GCGAACCTTTGCCTCTATTCGTGAGTACCATAAAGGCCAGTACAACCCGAATTTCAGTCCGCCAATCAGCTACTCCACGCGAACAAACATTGGACTGACCGCGCGCGGTCCCAGTTATCCCGTCAGTTGGCAATCGTCGTTTGGCGCACCGTGCTAGCTTCAAGTACTTCGGATTGTTTACAATAAGAATAAGTACGCTGAGTCGTCGAGCCCACTCTCTGTGGGCCCACTACCAGATCACAGCCCAAGCCAGTTAGTTGACTGGTGCGGTGTCACACGTGACTCAGTCCGCGCATAATAAACCAGATTTTCTATCCAAGTAAAGGAGCGACGTGGCCCCGCTCTGATTGGGGAGTACTATACGAATTATCTTAAGATATATTTATTGTAGCCCAAATCGTAGGCCCTCCTCCTATTCCTGCATTACGAAAAGTGGCTTAGTCGCCGATTTTTTTTTGCACAACTTGTATTTCGACCCCCTGCTGCTCCCATGCTGCCCAGAAACCTCTACCCAACCTGCCTAAATATCTGTGTTTGCACGCTGTCAACCCTCCCTCTCTCTCCTCCGCGCTTATAGGCTCTCGGTCACATCTACGGCAAAGCTATCCTCGATACCTGGCAATCCAGTGGCATGCTGCAGAAGATGATGCCGGGTATCTATCGCCCCGAGGTCTTCCGCGCAACGCACTCGCGTTCAAACTCCATGACCTGTGTACCCGCCAAGGAGACGCATTCAGCTGCCGAACGTGACACGGAGACGCCAACTCTGCGACACGTGAGTATTACACGGTCCCCATCTTCGGTATTCTTGCCTCTAGTTGTGCCTGTCTGTAGAAAGCGAGCCAGATAGGCGCAGAGCAAGTCAATACTTCTCCCCACCCGCCCATCCAAAACAGTGCTCCTTTGCGTCGCTTGTACTGGTTTAACTGTGCAGCAGGTGATGTGGATGATTGCCGCAGCATACTTTATCTCACCAGTTCAGCTTCACCCAGCACAGCATCTAGTTAGCAAATAGCAAACAGCATTATGCAAAAAGTGCCGCTCATTTGTTTAGACAAGGAGGCGTTTATCAAGGCAGGGCAGAGAGGCTGAAACTGTAGGTGTCGAGTTACACCATGCTGGTGCGTTCAGACTGATTAATAAATGAGGCACGTAATATGGACGCTCGAGTTAACAAAAAAAACTGTGTTGAATGATTAGCTGGCAAGCAATCTTTATCAGGGGGCATGGAACCCAGCCAAGTGTCTGCTGTTTAGGTTAACTTTTCAGAGGGATAAATAGAATCGGAAGTTCACACGTTCTCCGTAGTGGCATTGTTCGCTATGCCGCTGACCGGATGAAGGGGAATTTGTTTTATTGCCACACTGAAGATAACAGGACCCGTTGCGTCGGCGGCAGATAACCGAAAAAACTCCTTGGCGGCTTATCAACCGCGTGCCGTCGCAGCATCACATAAGAAGCGCACAACAAGTTAAACTTTTTTGGGTTTTAAGTCACCTGTTTCATTCTGTGCAGTGGACAATGGCCTTAAAGCATTGTTTTTTCCCAGAATCAATTTGAATCTGGCATCGTAGGTTTACGCTCATGTCCCATAATGCGCGCCTGATCTCTGCTTTCACTGCAGCATCTACTTACGCACATAACGTTATTTTCATGTTTTTCATGCGTGGAAGCGAATTTTCGAGTTCCCGGTGTATGTATGAGTAAGGAAGAAGAAGACAACCGATTGAGCATCAGAAGTATGTATTAATTGCTGGAAAATACGTATACTGGTCTGAGCTTTCGATCTCGTACAGGAGGCTATCATCAGAGACTGTGAGCAGCCTGATGTCGTTTATCAAATACCCTGTCCTGACTGTTCTTGCCATCTCATACAGGGCCGACCGGGCGAAAACCTAGCTCGCGAATAGTGGACCACAAACGGGCAGTGTGCAGGGGCGATTCATCTCGCAACCCACACTCTGGTAGAAGGCCACTTCGCGAGCACGCGGATAATGGCGTGAGCCAACAATAAAACGATGCGGGAAAGACTAGAAAACTGGGTTTCTGACTCCAACTCCATCAACAAATATGCGTTTATATACTGTCAGGTGCTTTGTTCGCGCGATCAAGAGCTCCGACCCAGCCCCCAGCTAAGAACGCACGCCGTCATAGCGCTGTGAGATGGCGTGGACTCAGCCTCATCACAATAACACACCCTCCTGCTTCATCCATGCCACCCTTCCTCTTTGTTGGGCTACAAAAACCGCCTCCTGTACGAGTTTGAAAGCCCTGATCAATGCACCTATCGGTTTAATGATCGTCCTATTTGCGACAAGAATCGGGGCCTCGCATGTTTGCTTCCATTTGTGGGAACTTTATTTGGACCTTTCGAACTCGTGCAGAAGCCCACCGTTAGAAATGATATCGCCGTCATTATCAGCAGCAGCAGTACCCGAACAAGCAACAATTATAGTATGTCTTATCTAATAAGCGGTCGACGACGCACGTCTGACTGTGGCTACGTATAACCCTCTATGTCGGCCGCGGATCGCTGCGTCGATTGAGTGGGTTCTCATCCAAGGGTTAGGCTCCAATCACTTTTTACATGTCTTCTTCCAACGCGTGCGATTCTCTTGGCGGCAGCTAACTTAAATTCGTAACCGTTTCCAAAGGTGTTCATAGCCACTTGTGATACTTCGTCGCCCAGTCGCATAGCCGTTGTATGTTCGGCTAGACGCTACCCGAACATATATTTTTTCTAACCTGTGTAGTTATAAGGATATTTTGCGTTCCGGATGTGGTTTATATCCCCGGTCTGAACTCTCGTGCTTAATAGGTTTAAAAATCAGTCGATAAATGTATCGATCTGGCGTGAGCATACAGAGCTCTGCGGAGTCATCTTCCGAAATTCTTCATTCACTGCTCATTGCCGTGTACCTCCTACAACTTTTGGTTATTATGTTGTTGCTGTAATCTTTGAAGATAGACTACCGTACGAGTTCGAAGGCTCTGTGATAGTTTATAAGCCGATCCTCCGTCAGAAGGGGCCGCCGTAGGCAAGCAAACCTATGGCCGCAATGTGCGTTCAAGAGCTCAATGTCCAAAGTGGTCTGCGATTCAGATTAAATTCACACAAACACAGTTGGCTGCAAGTGATCCACTGCATAGCGTTGTACTTTCGACCCACATTGTCATATGACCGCCGATCTTGATAGGCACACTCTAACTTGGGTCGGCTGGACGGCTGGCTGGCTAACGACAAACCAACCAACAAGGAGTTACCGCCATGCTTGGCTACACAGGAGGGCATGGGATAACTACGCCTTCAGGATTTAGAACCCAACAATAATACAAAAAAACAGACACATATGCTTATGAATGAATGTGCTTTCACCGATCTAGCAGACGAACAATTAAGTTCCTCTTTGCCCAGGAGCTCGCAACGCAAACCCTCTAGACCGCCACATGGTGACCAGGTGATATGATGAATTAGATCCGACAAAACAAAGGGAGACCGGAATGGCCT